TTTCCCAGATAGGGTTTGTGGCACCTTCCAAAATTTGTCCTCTTGCCGATTGAGGTGCTGGTACAAACTTTACGTTTCTAAGTATAAATTTAGAGGATGCTCATGATGCTCATATTTTACTCTAGAAGTAATGTGTACATATATTAATCAAACAGTAGGTTAAGCAACCTAATAACATTTAAAATTTAAATTATCTAAAAAATATCACAAGCTTCAGTTGTTATGGCAATAGTAGCTTTTTATAAAAATCGCCAATATTTTTTCCAGTTTCACAGTGATCCAGTAGCGCATTTCAAGGTCATTGAGCACCCTGTATTGGTTACAGTAGAAAATTGAAAGTTGGTGTAGACATTGCAGATATCAAAAGGGAAAAACTAAGGGGTGGCCTCGTTTTCTTGGATGAAATTTTTCTCCCCATATAAAAATTGGACCACTCTAATGTATGTACAGAATTTTTCATTGTGCATATCTCAGGGAATATTTGTGATAGAGTACTGAAACTTGGTATGGAGATATACATACATACATATGTATATAATAAATTCCAAACTCCTGAAGGAGGGTTGCCACCTGTTTAAAAAATGAAATTCAAATTGAATTAAGAGAATTATTTATTTGAAAATTATATTAAAAGAGTTGTATAAGCCTCTTGTAACTTGAAAACTTTTTAACTTTTTAAAAGAGTTGCCACCTGGTTGAAAAGTCAAATTTAAACTAATTATTCGACAGCTATCTGAAAAATTAAAATATGGGTGTCAAATGAAAGATTGTTAAGAAACCATTCAAGATATTATTGACATGTTTTACAAGGGTTGCCAACCGTTTCAAAATTAAATTCAATTAATTTAAATGTAGAATGTATCACAATATGGGTGTCAGACGAAAGGGGTCTAATAAAGTTTCAGCTGGTAATTATTATGAATGGGTTTGCCACCTGTTTTAAAAGTCGAATTAAAATTAATTATACTCAAGTTAAATTGTGAAACGTAAGAGTATTTGGAAATGTTCTACTTAAACATGTAGAATTTTCTGAGGGATTTTAAGAGTGTTGCCAACTGTTTTAAAACTTATTTCAAATACAATTATACTATAAGTTAAAGAAGTTATTGCAAAATACATAGGTCTTAATGGAGGGAGTCTTGAAAGGGCTTTATACATACTTACATATGTATAGCAGGGTTTCCATATATTTGAAAATTTAAATTCAACTTGAGTTATCTTCTTCTTCTTCTTAATTGGCTCTGTAACCGCCTAAGCGATTTTGGCCGAGTCCAAAACAGCACGCCAGTCATTTCTCTTCTGTGCTAACTGACGCCAATTGGAAACGCCAAGTGAAGCCAAGTCCTTCTCCACCTGATCTTTCCAACGCAGAGGAGGCCTTCCTCTTCCTCTGTTACCAGCATCGCGGCCCGCGTTGAATATTTTCAGAACAGGAGCGTTTCTGTCCATCCGAACGACATGGCCAAGCCAGCGGAGCCGCTGAATTTTAATTCGCTGCACTATGTCTATATCGTTGTAAAGCTCATACAGCTCATCGTTAAATCGTCTGCGATATTCGCCATCACCAACGCGTAAAGGTCCGTAAATCTTTCGCAGAATCTTTCTCTCGAAAACTCCAAGAGCCGCCTCATCAGATGCTTTCATTGTCCATGCTTCCGCGCCATACACCAGCACAGGCATGATGAGTGACTTATAGAGTGTGATCTTTGTACGACGAGAGAGGACTTTACTTCTCAATTGCCTACTCAGCCCAAAGTAGCACTTGTTGGCAAGAGTGATTCTCCGTTGGATTTCAAGGCTGACATTATTATTGGTGTTAATGCTGGTTCCCAAATAAACGAAGTCGTCTACTTTTTCAAACTTGTAACTGTCAACAGTGACGTGGGTGCCAAGACGCGTATGCTCTGACTGCTTGTGTGCTGACAGGAGATACTTCGTTTTGTCCTCGTTCACCACCAGACCCATTTGCTTTGCATCTCTATCCTATCCCGAGAAGGCAGAACAGACGTAGCCCTTGTTTTTACCGATAATATCGATGTCGTCGGCATACGCCAGCAATTGTACGCTCTTATAAAGTATTGTGCCTGAGCGGTTCAGTTCTGCGGCTCTTATTATCTTCTCCAACATAAGATGAAAGAAATCACACGACAGGGAGTCCCTTTGTCTGAAACCTCGTTTGGTATCAAACGGCTCGGAGAGGTCCTTCCCTATTCTGACGGAGCTGGTGGTATTGCTCAACGTCATTTTACACAGCCGTATTAGTTTCGCGGGGATACCAAATTCAGACATCGCGGCATAAAGGCAACTTCTCTTCGTGCTGTTGAAAGCGGCTTTGAAATCGACAAATAGATGGTGTGTGTCGATCCTATACTCGCGGGTCTTTTCCAAGATTTAGCGTAATGTGAATGCCTGATCTATGGTGGATTTTCCAGGCCTAAAGCCACACTGATGAGGTCCAATCAGTTCGTTGACGGTGGGCTTCAGTCTTTCGCACAATACGCTCGATAAGACCTTGTAACCTATGCTTAGAAGGCTAATTCCGCGGTAGTTGGCGCGTATGGTGGGGTCGCCTTTCTTGTGGATTGGGCAGAGCACACTTAAATTCCAGTCGTCGGGCATGCGTTCATCTGACCATATTCTGCATACGAGCTGATGCATGCACCTCATCAGCTCCTCGCCGCCGTACTTGAATAGCTCGGCTGGCAGGCCGTCAGCTCCAACAGCTTTGTTGTTTTTCAGCCGCGTAATCGCTATTCGTACCTCGTCATAGTCAGGCGGTGGGACAGCTACTCCATCATCATCGACTGGGGACTCGGGTTCGTCTTCCTCACTACTTTCGGCGCTGCTACCATTCAGTAGGTTATAAAAGTGTTCCCTCCACAATTTAAGTATATTCTGGACATCGGTCACTAGGTCGCCATTGTTGTTCTTACAGGAGTTCGCCCCGGTCTTGAAACCTTCCGTAAGTCGCCTAACCCTCTGGTAGAACTTTCGGGCGTTCTTCCTGTCGGCCAGCATCTCAAGCTCTTCGCACTCACGTATTTCGGCCTCTCTCTTCTTATTGCGGCAAATACGTCTCGCTTCCTTCTTCAGTTCCCTATAACGGTCCCACATGGCTCGCATTGCGCCCGATCGCAGCGTGGCCCTCTAGGCGGCATCTTTTTTCTCTGCGGCTTCTTGACATTCCTCATCGTACCAGTTGTTCTTTCGGGCTCGCTGAAATCCAACTACTTCTTCGGCGGCGGTACTTAATGATCGGGAAATGTGGTTCCACTGCTTGTTGGATTGTTGAAGAGTGCTCTCAGAGAGCAGGTGTGTGAGTCGAGTGGCGAATAAATTGGCCGTCTGTTGTGATTGCAGCTTTTCGACGTTAAGCTTTCCTTGCATTGTTGGGCGCACATTTTTTGCTGCACAGAGGCGGGTGCGTATCTTGGCTACAACAAGATAGTGGTCCGAGTCGATGTTTGGCCCTCGGAGTGTACGTACCTCTAAAACGCTTGAAGCATGCCTTCCGTCTATCACAACATGATCGATTTGGTTTCTCGTTTTTCGATCTGGAGACAGCCATGTAGCTTGGTGGATGTTCTTATGCTGGAACCTAGTACTACATAT